CGGCGGAGGTAGATGGCATATCCAAAGGGTTTGTCGCTGAAACAGCATATCGCAGTACAACATTTTCTGACTTTGTCAAGTCCACCTTAAATGAGAAGAGGATGCGCCAAAATAGAGGCAATGTACTGATGATTCCCACCCCATTCCGCATCGGCTCTGCCATCTGTGTTTACAGTATAGGGATGAAACACAGAGAGGACCAAAGCTAATGCACATACAGGCTCGCTTATCTGGGTATCTAAATTGGCACTTCCTGCTCTCGCACAACTGTCAATATTCGACTGTGTCCCTCTCATCGGCGAGCCTATAGTGCCAAACAAACTTTCACAGTTTGTATCTTAAAAATTTCCAAAACACATAGTATCCCGCTATCAGCATCAGCTTAAATCTGGCACATTGGTGAATCGCAAAAAAAAGAGAACTTTTTTGGAGACTAACGTGATGGCATGAGGCCCAGAGTTGGTGGATTTTTCTCGGCCATTGGAATGCCATGCTTCTTCCATTTGTGTGTTCGAAGGAAATAGCGATTGCAAAAATTCTTATCACACTTCTCGCAATAGGTATCCTGCAATACACAGTACTGCTCTTCATTCGCTCACAAACATCAAATTTATGCAAAAAAACCAACAAAAAAATTACTTTTGAAGGCGATACATTAGCTGTGAAGGCGGACTGGAGCAGTACATTGCTTGCTGATGGCACTGCAGCACCAGGAGTTGCTCCCTCGTTACCGCCAAACATGCCTGAGAGCATTCGAAAAGCATCATCCTGAGGAGTGTTTGCCAGTTGTAGCTGCTCAAGCAGCGACGGTACCATCCTTTGTGATGCGACAGCCGCAGTCCTGCAGTAATTACACGGAATTACTAAACTCAATAGCTATCTTTCCAAATAAAAATAAATAGCAAAGCGCACCAGACTAGCCGGTGCGATCTTGTGCAATTCAGCCCATCGAACAATTGCCTATTAACGATTTTCACTGCTTTGTACTTTAGTCTACGCAAAAACAGCTTAAACACTGGAAAACAGTTAAG